AGTCCAAACCGTATCCCCCCAACCCCTGGTTCCTCAGTCCATGTCTCAAGAGAACATGGCTCTCAGATCCTCCCCGCCCAGCTTCCCTCTGCCACCATGCACCACGCCATCAGAGTGGACGTCAGACCAGGACGGGCTCCTGTTTCATTTTCCAGACGTGCCAGCCACCCAGCTCATGGACAGCGGGGCTGAATAGGGCTCCTGGGATAGTCTTCCCTGCTATCCTCTAACCCGCCCTGCCCGAACCTCCCTGGGCCTGGGCAGCTGTGGCCCAACCTCAGAGCGTACACCAGCAGCATAGGGCAGGATGCCATGCCACGAACTCACATAACTCAAGTTATATTCCCTTCATGGAAATCCTGGTAGGCTAGGCCCACCTCTCCCGATACCAGCCCACCTGAGTTTTCTTCATTAAAGGGAAACATTTAAAATTCTATTTAAAGTTCACCTTCTTGGGATTGGGCTTGGAGAGGAATTCTGGAATGTCAACTTGGTTATTATATTATGTAACATCTTAGCCATCCCTCCCAGCTCTGAGTTATAGGCCCAAAGGGCAAATTCGATGGCTTAAGGTTCAGTTAAACCAGTGGCAAACGTGTGGGCAGCGAGGGGAAAGTGGGCTCTGAATGTAAGAAGCTCTGCCAGCAACATCTCTCCAGGCAGTGAGGAGTCAAGGGCCCTGGAGGCTCTCCCCCACCTGTTTGGGGCTGGCTGCTTCCCCTGCTTATCCACACTGGTATCACCAGACGACGGTCACATACGCGGTGGAAGTGAAGACACCTTTCCTATGACTTGCTGGCTAACTTTCCTGACTTAGAAAGACAACCCCCAACTGAAACACAGGGGGTTTGCCATAACTTGGTCTTAGGGTGCCTCACTGTGTCTGTAGGTAGCCTTCGAGGTTTTGTCGGCAGGCTGTTCTCATCGTGGCTGGCTTTGTTGTAAAAATTCCAGCTCACCAGCCAACTCCTCTAGCTAGACTTTCTGGAACTTAACGGCATCCCATATCGGAAACTCAGGCCAGGTGTGCATCCCCGGAACGCTGGCATTCTGCAAGATTTCTCACGAAATACCAACTGTCCTTTCCTATTACCGGGCATAATGCCTTGAGGCCCGTGATCTGAGAGTTGTTTGTAGCAGTCCTGGCTCCCTCTGAGCCAGCCACTGTGCGGGGGTGTCACTGCCACAGTGAACAGAAGCCAGCCACCCCCTGCTTTTGTGGAGTTTTCAATCTAGTGGTTGAAGGTTAGCTTGTCTCTCTCCCAGCTGTGCCACCCCTCATGGGAAATCAAGGGGCATCGGTGGGTCACCTCCATATCCCCCTTCTATAAAACAGGACACTATCAACCAATGGCTCCTGAGTTCATTTTGATGCCTGGCGACCCCATGTCTGCAGAAGAGAATTGCTCCAAAGGGTAACCAGGCCTGTGACTGATCATCGGGCCTGTCTTGAGGCAGCTGAGTGGGTTCAAACTGCCACCTCGGTCAGTGGCTGAGCACTGAACCATGCGCACTGTGCCCAAAGATTCCTTGCTTCCTGGGGTCTGTTACCACCAGCTACTTTCTTATTTCACAAGCATTTTTTTCCCCTCCCAAACACTTTTTTCCCCTCCCAAACACATTTTTCCCCAGGGCCACCCCCTCGGATGCAATGTGCTACAGCCCAAAGAACTGTGCTACTGTTGTCCCCGGGCTGGGCAGGGCCCCCTTGTCTGGGACAAGGGACCAGAGGATACCAGATCCTTATACGATTTATACACATCACCCTTTAGTCATGAATGCTGGCCCTCTTAGATGAAGGCACGTAATCTCATTTAATTTAGCCGAGGGATTACAACAGAATGCAAACTGGTTAACACACACACACACACACACACACACATTTCTCAATGTCTGCTGAGGAGTGAAACATGTGTTCTACATTCCATGGGGATAAACACAAGTTTATAATCTCTGCTAGAGAGATGAGATGCCCATAAAGCAATGGTTCTCCACCTTCCTCATGCCCAGACCCTTCATACCATTCCTCATGTTGTGCTGACTCCCCACCCCCCAACCATAAAATTATTTTCGTTGCTACTTCATAACTGTAATTTTGCTACTGTTATGAATCGGGCAACCCCTGTGAAAGGGGTCGCAACCCACAGGTTGAGAACCACTGCCACAAAGTGACAACACAAGAAGTGTCAGACTGGGTGAGGACAAGAGGCCCAAGACTGCCTTGGGAGGGCCCAGCGGCCCAGCCCTGGAGAGGCTTCTTACAGCTGGGGCTGGGGTCGCGGGTGGGGGTTAATCACAGCCAGCTGGTGATTCAGGGTAAGGATCAATGCCCTGCGCTGTGAGTTAAGGGGTGGCTTGGTGGGTGCGTGGTAGGAGCGGGGCCCTGAAGGAATGTTGCTTTTGTCACCGACTGTTTAGATGTGCAGAGCAGTTCGGTTTATTCGTGATTTCAAGGCCTGGTGGCAAAGGTTTAGGCTGCCCACAGAAAAGTGGGCAGTCCAAACCCACCCTGGGGAGAGAACAATGGGAGAGAACAATGGGAGATGATTGCCTGGAACGCCCCCGGGGCAGTTCCGCTCCATCCTAGGGGGCGGGGGTGGGGGGCTGGGGTGCTAAGGGTTGGAATCAACTCTATGGTCACAGGTGTGAGTTTGGGGTTTACAGACAATGCAACATGTACTGTCTGAAGCGGGTGGGAGGTGGGGGCACAGCACACACAGACAGCTCCACTGTTCCCTACCCCAATTTGCTATACCAGTGCCCGGAGCCTTAGCTTTAGACTCAAAAAAGGGGAATAAACATCCACCTTCACAAGGTTTCTGGAGAGGGTGGATGGAGAGAATTGAGGCAGAAGTGTCCCCTGGACCAGAGCCTGACAGGGGACCCAGTGCTTAACATGCACCCCTTTTCTTCTCCCATCCTGCTCTCTCCTTTCTCTCCCAGTCTTTCAAGAATCCAGTGGACAGAAATCAGCCACTTGCTCAGCTGTGTCTGTCTGTCCTTCCCAGGTCTGTCAACCCCAGGGGTTGTCCATCTCAGCCCCAACATGAGGAAGTAAGACTTGTGGCAGGAAGCCACTCCCAAACCCAGGCCAGAACCCATCCAGGCTGGCCACTGTGCAAGGAGCCTTAGCCACAGTGCATGCAGTATTTGCATACATTTGCACTCTACTCCACAGCTGAGCTCAGGCAAAAACCCATATTCTCAGATGCTTGTGTTAGGATCAAACTGAGCCAGTTAGGCAATGATACCCGAAACCGTGTTAGCACCACTCCCCATTCTCACTTCTCCACATTCCACCAGCCCCTCAGAGACAGCTAGCCAAGGGCAGGTCAGGGGGCTAGTTGCTGAGGGTGAGTCCCTGTCTGGGGCTGTGTTCCTAAAAGCACGCCCTCCTACCTCACCTGGAGCAACGATGAAGGACAGAGAAAATGCTATGTCTTTGTCACCCCATAATCTGTGTGTGTGTGTTGAGGGACAACATGGAGCACACATCCTTTCAAGGAAAAAGAGAAAACTAGCTAGAAGTTTCCTTTATTTAAAAAAGAAAGAGAAAAATGCTAAACATTTACAGTTTCCAGAGGAGCCCTAGTGACGTAGTGGTTATGGGTTGGGCTGGTACCCTTGAGATCAGCAATTCTAAACCACCCTCAGCTCCAGGGAGCAAGAGGCTTTCCACTCTGGGGAAGCATTACAGACTGGGACACTCACAGGAACAGTTCTCCCCTGTCCTGTAGGATTGCTCTGAGTTAGGTTAGACTTGATGGTATATAGTTTGGTTTTTTGGAAACATTTACAGAGTACTCTGACCACTGAAAGAAGCCCAAGAGACGCAGTGGTTGAGCATGGTGCTACACTGGGGAAAGCTGAAGATTTACACCCTTGGAAACTTTAGAGAGCAGCTGTATGGC